GTCTCCGGCTTGGAGGTCCCAGAAGGGCATTCTGTTAGAGAAGGTGGCTTCTGGAACGGAGGTTCTGAGAACGCCACTGAAGGGACTAGGCAGGCAATACAGAGAGATGAGAGTAATGAGCCAAATAACCCCTTGAAAATGCAGTGATTTCACAGATTCATAACATGAGGGCCATGTTTACTGCTGCTGCTGTGGAAGTCGCATGAGTGATCTCTGATGTACAGGTGTCTAGAGGAGCATGTGGAGAACACGAGTCTGCCGTTCTTTTCAGTCTCAGGCTGCCAAGAGCCACCCCCTGGTTCAGCTTTCTGCTGTTCTCTAGCCGGAGTGGTATTTAAATGCCATAAAATAAAAACTTGTTGCCATTTTATGCAACAAGTCAAATGTGTCTTGGAAGACACCTTACAGGCACGCATTCTTAAAAATTACTTTAATGCTTACGTACAAGGGGGCTGATTTCAGTTTGCAAAACAAAACCTGTTTTCCATTTCCAAAATCCTTGGCTCTGCATGTAGAGGTGTTCCTGTAGCAAACTTAGTAATTAACATTCTAAATGAATTATTATAGATGTTAGTTGATGCTTTGAATTATATCTTGTATTTGAAGTACTATATTACAGGCTGTATGAATAGTGAAGCTGAAAGATTGAAAGTTTCTTCAGGGAAGGGAGAAAAAAAAATTCTTTAGGTACCTGAAAGACAGGCAAAGGTTCTTTTCCTTTGTATGTGTTGTTTCTAGGATTACTTTCTCCAAGATTTGCTCTGACAAAACCTAGTAATTAAAATCCTCTTCTACATGCAAATATGCCTGAGCATAAGGGATATTGGTTTATTTGATTTACGTCTGCATGGAAGCATCCTGTAGTTGTTCAAGTCAGGAAAGCAACAAATCAGACAAAATGTCTATCCCAGCAGGATTCTGGAATGGAAGATGAGTAAACTGAGGGGCGAAATCCTCATCATTATTATGACTTAGAAAGGCTCAAGAAGGGTAATCATACCTTGATGAAAGCAGAGAAACATCTTTAGAAAAAATATGTTTTTATATTTTCATCAAATTTAAGAAAATATTGTTTGTGTTTCCCTATGACATAAATTTTAAATGTGTCTAATGTACTTTCCAGTGTTCCGCATTTTTGATAGAGACAATGATAGCTGCATCAATGTGGTGGAATGGGTGGAAGGCTTATCAGTATTTCTTCGAGGGACACTGGAAGAACGGATTAAGTGTAAGGTTTATCTGTATGTTAGTACTTAGTAATAATCATTGAATTAATGACTATTAAATTACATGTTGCTTTTATTACAGTTTAGTAGTTACTCTTATAAAGTATTAGGTAATTGAAGAGTTTTCTTCTGTATAGTTTAATGCAATGAAACGGAGTTCTGAAATGGCTTCTCTGAGACAAAGGTTTTTCTGTGTAAACTGCCATTATAGCTGCCACTTAAATTTGTTGCTGACGAAAACTAGCATTTGAACTGAAGCTTGTTCTACAGTATACAGATTTGACAGGGTATACGTTTTTGTATTCATAAACAAAATTAGAAGGATACAGATGTAGCTCAAGGGTGATTTTGCCTGAATAGCAGGGTCTCAAGCCAACCAAGGCCTGTGCCTTGTTCATTTACTGGCACGATGGGGACACAGCAGCAGTTGCATTAATTCCAGCAGTTCTTCAGCTTGGAGTCTGTTTGTAAGATAGTCATGAGAACCTCCACAGTAATGATGGAGAAAGATAGGGAGAAAAAATAGCAAAAACTCTAGAATTTTAAGAAGCAGAAAAAAAAAAATAGGGCATGTGGGGAAAAAAGTGTAATAGAAAAGAGGACGACAGCATGTTCTTTCCATAGTTCCCAAGTTGCAGCATCAGCCATCCCTAATGGACTATGTAAATTCATCTGAAAAGTGGCCTGGGATGTCACAGCACTCGGATGTGTGCCCAGGATGTAATTCACTACGTCAGTACAACTACAGACTGTAAAGTATGCAGCTGTAAGCTGCCGTGTAGTGCTGTAAGCACTGTAAAATATACTAGTGCATAGTGATACAGTGTTATCTGTCGTAGGTGTATGCCAGTACAATTTTTCACTGTAGACATACTCTTTGTTGGGGGGGGAAAAAAAAACAACTCTTGTGTCCCAAAACTGAAGCTTTTGGTTTGCTTCTTTGTTTGTTTGTTTGTTTAAACAAGTTTTGTGAAGGATAGTAAAGTTTATTATGGTCATAGATTTCTGGTTCCAGGAAGGTAGAAACAATTAGAAGAGGAATTAGGCAGATACTCAAAATACATTGTTACAGGGATTTTCCTTTGCATTAAGGGATATTTCTGTTTTGTTTTCCTTGCTAGTACAGCTCATTCTTCCATTTCCTTTACTTTTCTAACCCAGCTTCTGAAATAATGAGTATGTGTTTTGTAGATGCAAAGTCCTTTGGATATAAACAGCTGGTCCCCACTGTGGGAAATTTGGTTTCTAAACCAGAACCTTGTTTATATTCTAAATAAACGATTTTAGAGAAGTTAAGATCTATAAGGTAGTGTAGTTTCTGTGAACTGAAGATTATTTATTTGAGAAGAAGTAGACTTCAACTATGAAGGGTAAATAGGCAGTAATTTACTAGTACATGTATCAAAATGTGATACATATATTTCGTATATAAATATTATATGTGATAAATATGGCTCAGTAGATATGCTCTACAACATAAAATTCTCATTTTCTGTCTATAGGTAACAGACAGTTTTGTGTGTGATATAGTTTGTATGAACTTTAAATTTATTTATCTTTCAAAAAGACTGTTTTGAGGTTTACGACCTGAATGGTGATGGATATATTTCAAGAGAAGAAATGTTTCAAATGCTGAAAAACAGCCTTCTCAAACAACCGTCAGAAGAAGATCCTGATGAGGGAATTAAGGATTTGGTAGACATAGTACTGAAGAAAATGGCAAGTACTTACTCATTGTGATACTGGAGTGTCTGTCAAACATTCAGACATTAACTGAACCTTAGAACATTGCTATGAGATAACAAAATACTGTGCCTGAGTTACAGTGGGATCCTGAGCCACAGAGTTAGTTATGTACTTGAGATAAGCAATTCTCCTAAGGAAAGCCAAAAATATAATCCAGATGTAATGAGTCCCAGTCCAGTATCCTCACATGAAGCTGTTAATTTATCATGCAGATGTATTCTAAACTTTATGTATAAACTAGCATGTGTTTGTGTGCATACACATATGTGCATGCCCCGTCAAAACTGGAAAATTCCAAAGTGTAAACTATATTTATTCTCGCGTTAGCCATCTGCATTAGCTTTATTATTAAGCACATTTGTGTTTTATCAAGTGATCATGAAATGTCTTTATCCAATTTATATATTCTGTTAGAATAGTAACCTCAAAGTTATTAGTGTAAAACTTGTCTTACTGTGATTAATCTAGAATATCCAGATCAACCAGGGACTGCGTTTCAACACAACCTCCTCTCCTATGGTGGTGTTCAAAAAAAATCTCACTTAAAAGCAGATCTTGAATCCCAACTCCTTTTGTTTAACCCCATCTTCTAGTTTTCAAACCCACCCTTTTTGCAGAACCTCAGCTGAAAAGTCTCTTACCCTTAGTTCTTGACAATGCTGAGTCCAGTCTCACACAGGAGGCAAGCTACGGCTCAGCAATTCGTTCATCTTTGGAGCACCTGCATGCGCAGCTTTCCTGCAGGTTGCATCCAAAATGAATGCCCTCATGTTCTGGGCAGTTGGTAAGGGGGCTATGCTAGTCCAAGCACAAGCACTATGCTTCAGACAGAATGAATGTTCATATATTAAAGACCATATTATGAACCAATCATGTACATAATCCTGTTTTGGCTTTTCCACGAGAACTTAATAAAGCTCTGATACGTGTTTGAAGAATGTCCAGGTCTGATTTGGCTGCTGGGCAGTTGTCCGAGTAGGATATTGCTGCCCATCTCAAATAACTAAACAACTAATTCTTAGATATCCAAAAATGCATTTGTGGAGTCCATCACTCGGAGAAGAAAAATCTCCTCTTTGAGCCGTTGCCTGTAGGTACCATGGCATTGTGACTAAGCATACGTCAAGTCCCATGATACCGTTTTCATACTTGCAAGTGTTTTAAGGAACATGCTCATGCCCTGCCCTCCCCCGTGCTGAGGAGTGTAAAAAGTAGAGTGTACCCAGCCACGTCTGTTTCTTTTAAGGATCCAGTGGCAGGTTTTCCTGTTCAGGAATCTCTGTCTACACAGCTCCTTGCCTGTACTTTTCTGGCTGTTAGAACCTGTGCTCCCTTCATGTTCACCAGCTATGATGGTTCCATGACTTAATCTTAAAAAAATTTTGATTTGGCCCTGTGCCTTGAGCCCTAGTCATATCCACCCATGTATCTTCACTTAAACCCTTTATTTTATATGGTCTAAAGTACTTATGCTCGCCATAGCATTTGTTGGTGTTTCAAGCTGCCACGTCAGTAGAAGCAGGAGGTTTTCAAGTTGCAGAAATACTAAAAACACAAGGCTGCTTCTTTCCACTCCTAGAGGAATGTTCTGCTATGCTGAGATGCTGCAGTAAGAAAGAAGTGGGCTGGCACCAGCATCCTCCACCATATGCTTCTGGGTGCTGTACGTGAACAAGACAGGGCAAAAGTATGCCTACTATAGGAACCACTAGGGTGGAGTGTTTCCAGGGTATAGGTACACTCGTGGGGTAAATACATACACAGAATATACCATAACGTTTTCTCCTACTTTTAAGTCTCCAACTTTTAATTCATCTCAGTGCAGCTGTGCTTGAGATTTGTCTATGCAATTCTCGGCTCGGCCTCTTCCCATGTTAAAGTTTTGCCTTCTCTGGAATTCCGTTAGCAGAGCCATATGAGATAGTTGAGCTTGCTCCACCTTTTATACCTTAGGTAGAGGCAATTGATACAGATCTTGTCTGAGCAGAGACTGACGGCCCAAGGAAAATTATTTTTTGCATATAATCAAACTAAAAGTAGAATCCATGCCAATAAACCACCTGTTAAACAAAAATACGATTATTACAAGTAATCATCCTTTGCTGAAGAGTTCCCTTCCTTTTGTAGGACCGTGATCAGGATGGCAAGCTTTCTTTGATGGACTTTGAAGAATCAGTCAGAGATGAAAATCTTCTCTTAGAAGCCTTTGGACCATGTTTGCCAGACATAAAGGTACATCAACTTTGAGTTTTAAAAAAATGTGCAATACTTTCTGTACTGTTGTTAAGGAGATGTATCTATTGTGGTATCAACTTGTCATCACATGGGGTCTGCTGAAGTCAACTGGTAGACGCCTCCGTTGTGAGATACGCATGTGCTGAGTTGGTGTCTGCCTTTCACAGCACTGATGTTTCCTTACACAGTCAAACACTGGTACCAGAGAATATAAGGAAGAACACAGTTCCTCAGTGTTTGTCTATCCCGGGGCAGCAATACAGTGAACAATCCTCAGTGAACACCCTCTCAGACTAAGAAAATGAGACCATTATCTTTAATTGTTTATCTGAAAGCTCTCCAGGAATACAACTTTTATTTTTCTTTCTTCAGTGCCACTGGCAACGCTGCCACCACCTCACTTACAGCCTCTTTTGGGAGAGGCTGGAAACTTTCTGAAAAGCATACTTTGAGAGTGGCGTTCATCTCAGAGTGTGGCACTGCTGTTTTTTAATTACATCTAACTGGGCTTTATTTATTAGCAATACATCTAATTCAATTCAGAGATTTGTAATTTTTTTTGGAAGATAGTAATTTAGAACATGCTTATTTCCTCAATGTTGAGTTCAACTGTGGAGAGCGTTTCTGCTCTATAATAAAAAATAATTTCTTTCCTAATCCAATAATCGTTATTCTACTTGAACTGTATGTCATTTTTAAATACTGCAAGTTGTGACTTCATGGAGATGGAAAAACAAAATTCTGAAATACATGCAGTGATTCCTAGAAACAGAGAAGTTCAGTAAGACTGCTGAGAACATGGCAAGTTTTCATTTGCTGGAAACCTGCGCTTCCTGCCAGCTCACCTCCCTGGCAGGCTGGAGGACAGGAAAGAAGAGTCTTGTAGCTGTGGCTGCACACTGTATGACACGATGTCAGCTGCAAAGCAGCCGTTGCCAAAATATCAGACTTCTTCTGGCAGGCTGTCAAAGACTTTCAGGGGTTGGGGAAAACATAGGTAAGTACTCTGGTTTTTACATGAGTGCAGAAGTTTTAGAAACCTTCTGAACAAAATTACATTCATTAATCACCATAGAAAAATGACTGGGTTTTTTGTCAGTGTTGGGGATAAACCAGGTACACAATTCAGGCTAATCACAGCAAGAGGTGGAAAACTCGGCTTGTTTCTTGCTTCCACTACTTGTGTCCTCTGTTCTGTACCCTACCCAACTGTTGCCCTTTCACTAGGTCTCTAGATTCACTGTTAAGAGAGAACTCCATTTACATGTCCTTTCAAGCCCTAAAAGCACTAAGTAAATTTCAGCTATGAGCTTTACGTGAAGAAAACCCATAATTTACTAGATTTCCCCGTGGGGTTATGTTGGGGAATTTTAATTGTACCCTTTCACGCAAATTAAAAACTCATTTGTACTTAAATAAGTGTTTTTTAAAAAACGTAACAAACAACTTTTTGGTAGAGTCCCACCACCATAAGCAGTTCTACAAGGAGTCTGCAAAGATGCACCACAAGCCAGTTCATGACATGCACCAGCACTGATCCTGTGCGTGTCAGCATGGGACACCTTAGCTCAGTGTTGGGTTCATCTCCCCAGTGCCAGTTCTGCCGCCAAAGGCAGCCCCTGAGCGTTCCCACTCCCAGACTGTTACAACACAACGCTGTGGGTATTTATCTCATCACCAACGGAAATTTCACTCCTTTACTTTAAGTCGTCTCAGTCTCTGTCAGTCTCCATCATCCCTGCTTCCAGCCAGCTTAACTCATTCTGCAGCTGGGCCTTCTTGCCCTCCACGCCAGATGGTTCCTTGGTCACACATTACCACTGCTCAGCAGATACAATTTGAATTTCCCCTTCAGTTACAACTTTGACTGTTCCAAGTAGTCTCTCAGTGATGACATCATGAATGCCACAGAATTTACCTTTTCTAAGCTAAAAAGCAAGAGATGCCTAAGTGTAAGCACTGTCACTGCTTACACATTTTGGTTTAGCATCTTTTCCAATTGAATTTAAATCCTTTAATTAATTAAAAACTTTTTTTTTTTTTTTTTTTTTACAGAGCAGTATAGCATTTGAACAGAAGACTTTCCAGGAAACTCGTAAACTGTGACTCCCAGTAGAATACTGTTGTAAGAGGTTTTTTCTTCACCATTCTTCATGGTATAGTAAAAATGAGCAACTTTAACCTATTACTAAGTTTCAGTATTCCTTTACTGTAAAAGCTACTGAATAAACAGAATTTACTTCTGTTACTCTGCCTAGATACAGTTCTTCAACGAGTTATGAAATACGTGACCGTATGAAGTACACAGGACAAGATGGCAACAATAATAATATATTATACTGGTTTGTTCATTCCAAGAAACAAATTGATACAATTTTTAACAGGGAATTGCTTGGAAATACAATATAAAACAGTTTTATTTTTAACTTAAAAAATAAGTATTTAAAACTATATCCTTTAAAAAAGGACTGTTGGAAGATGCTGCCAGCAGTATCTATATTCTTCTTCTCTGCTTTACAAGTGGTTTGGCTGAGTTACTCTCTGGCTTTTCCACAGATGTTCTTGAAACAGAATCTGCTACCTAAATCGGGGACAAAAAAAAAATCTTAGTAAACTGTAACCAGTTTGAATAGGATGTATTATTCCTATAATCACACTTGTATTGAATTTTCCTGCAGAAAAAGGGAAAAAAATAACACCAAAGGCAGCATTAAACACAGCAAGGTGAAACTTACACAAAAATAGTACTGCTAACACTTCTGTTTTCTTTTAACCACACAAACTCACTTAAGATACTCAATGATAAGTGTTACATACCTTATCACTCCTCTCCCTACCAGAACCTACCGGAAGTGTTTTCAAAGTAAGGCTTAGGATATTTTTAAAACTCAGGTATTTCAGGAAGAAAAGGGAAAGGGACAATGTGTTTTGACACATATTTCAGAAATGTATTTAACATAAGGGGTTGTTATTTATCAATTTGACTGCAGGTAAGCTCTTTCAAATCAGTCTAGTTATAGTCCAGGGAGCTTTTTCATATCTTAATTTAAATGGAGAGTTTTATCAGGAGTGTTTGACCTGCTACTTGATTAATATCCTCCACAGGTTATACACCTCAAGACACACTTCTCGGCATGGAATTCATAGTTCTGTACATCTTTTAGTGCCATAAGAAGTGTTGGAGCAAAATTATATCTGACTCTGGCTTTATTATTTTTCACTCCCTTTGAATCAGGAATGAGATACGAGTACCACACTGGAGTCAGCAGGACTACCTCCAAAGTTATCCTGCCTCCTCACATGGAAAAAAGGTGTAGTTTTACACCGACATTTATACTTTCTGAAGTGTAGTGTAAGAGGTGTGGAGTAGAAAGGCCTGCAATATCCTGCATTATGAAAGGGTTAAGTAGTAAAAAGCTAGCTTTAAGTGGCAAATAAACTGATAATACCGAATGACTGTTGAATTAAGTTACCTTAGCGTCTCTATTTTTATAGATAACAAGCACATAATATATCTGTTTGAAAATTAAAATATCAGCATTTTCAGAATCCATACCTCTTTCAGTTTATTTCGAATTAATGTAGCTGAAGTATTCAAGGAATCATCATCCATATCCACTTTAGGTATTTCTGGTAGCTGTGGACCAATAGTGACTTCAGTATTGTCCACATTTGTTCCAATGAGGGAAAACTTGTTACCTTCTTCTCGCTTCCTCTTACGTTCTTGCAGGTGAGTCGTACGAGGCATAAACCTGTCAACTCCATTATCAACTGGAACTGTTCTTTGCTGCATTAAAGGCGTTGGTGGAGTATGTCCTCCTGGCTGTATACTTAGAGTTAGGGATGTGTTTTGACCAAAGTACCCAGAAGTCTCAGCACAATGGTTATCATACTGGGGAAATGTCAACAGGCTCTGGTGATGATTCCCAGGTGGATACCCTGTGTTGTGGGATACTCCGTGAGAACTTGTAAAGCAGGATGGATCCCAGTTACCAGTTCCACATGATCCTGATGTACTCCATGGACAGTCAGAGTTCTTTGAGACGGTCTTCTTAGGCCTCTCTACTTTCTTTAACACAAAGCAATCTTTAAAACAACAAAAGTAGCTTCACTATTTCATGTCATTATTAGTTCTAACACATAAGAAAAAACATTTAATATAATTACAGAAGCAATACCAGTGGTATTTCATTCCCAACCACCTTTCTGTGATTCTTTTTTCCTAAGCGCACCTTTCAAACTAAAGTTTTCCAGCCTAGTCCCTTTGCTGGTTTGAAAGGAATGCCTGAGCAGTATTTCAGCAGTTTTAAGAACATGAGGAAAATATTTCTAAAGTTTCAAATCAATGATTCCAGTTACAATTTCAAGGATAGGCTGTCGTGCAACATTGGAAAAAAAGGTGGTTTGATGTTAAAAATCAGTGATTTTATTCCCTTTAAATACCCTCATGCAATGAACTATGATCTCAAAGTACATAAGGACAGAAAGGAGAAGCCTGCGCTCAGCAATTCACTTATTTCTCATCTTGCCCAGCCTTCAGTGCTGCCTGGGAACTCTGCAGTACAGTAGCCTTTGTAAACCCAGCCCATTCTTAGCATTCGTCCAGTGCCAAATAATGTATGCTGGAGAAATTTTTTTTGGTGAATGTTCTGGTATAGTCACCTTCCTTACAAAACTGTCCCTTTGGCATGCCTGAATAAGCTGGAACAAGGGTGAAAAGATGATCCCATATTTCCTGCCAGTGCTTGAAATTTCAGATAACATTTTGAAAACACTTCATTATTAAAGTATTACTAAAAACACTTCATTATTAAAGCTTATGCATTTTTTTTATTTTAGTGCTAACCAAAACCATAAAGTTGCTTTGAAAAAGATACAGCCCTCTAAATACTGAAAGATGTCTCCATTCTGCGGCAAAGATACTTAAAATGCATCTTTACAACAGCCAGATACAAAGCATTTTCCCACCGAAGTGAGATGTTACGTTCTACAGGAAATTTAATTACAAACCTCTTTGATTTGTTGCTTTTGCTATATACTTTCTTCTGTCCTGCAGCTTCTCCCTAGTTTCTTGGACTGTTTCAAATTCTGGAGCATAGCACACATGCAGCAAACTACCAAAGAAACTTCGTTCATCCATTTTTTTCTTGGCCACCCTGAAGGGAATTAAATTGTATTGGCAAAACTGAGGATTTTACCTCAACTCTCTAGAATCTTAACAGATTGTAAATAAAGAAGGTGTAAAAGATTAAGAGAGCAAGAGGCAGATATTGCCCTGTCCAATACCTTGCACATTGCAGTTTCTGGAATTTTATAAGATAAACTTCCGTAAATTGCTCTGCTGGATATTCGTCTAAAGCATGATACTCTTCAATGGCACCATATAATGCAAATTGTTCAACTAATTCCTTCATAACACCTAGTGCAGGAACTCCTTGTATTAGTATATAACGAGATTCCAAGTTGATAGTATAAACCTAGGGAAAAAAAAAAACAATATTCTAAAATGTTCAAATTCTTGCTTTACTCCAAAAGTAACACATCATCTCTGTTTTCTGTTGCTCCTTAAATCCTCTCAGGATGTTGAAAATCCCTCTGTACTCTGACTTTGGACCCTTGCAGGAGCAGTAAGAGCACAGTAATCTGGGTCCTCTTCATCACTGCGAGGGAACTGAGCTCAAGCTTCTTACTCAAAGCAGAACACAAATTAGAGTTAACTCTCTCCACCAAGTCAGAGTACTGCCATTTGGTGAGTAAAATCTACAAGCCTCTGGCCAGTTTGCTAGCCAGACTGACTAGTAACCGGTTAATACGAGGCACTGTCAAAATAAAGAAAAAAAACACTGTAAAACCTGTCTTGTTCTCAGGCAGAGCGGCCACACAGATAAAACACAGGGAGGGAAGGGGGGGGGAAGGTACCACGATTCCTCGGGGCAGATCGTGTGTGTGCAAAGCTGCCTCTTCACTACAGTGATCAAACCGCACATGTTTTTAAGACAGAAGCAAGATCTTCCCCAGCAGGTAGCAAAAACACCACTCCTGCTCTGGGTATGACTGTCACATAACACAGGCTCTAAGGAAAAGTTCCGTGACAGCTCCTTACGAATGACAGGTAGGTAAACCACAAGATCAAAGGAAATTCGCTCTGATTTTGTTAAAAAAAAAAAACATCTAGACTGCGTGAGCTACACACCCTTCTCAAAAAGCAGAAAATTCAAGACAACCCCTCAGGAAACCAGCTCTCAAACCACCATTATAAAAGCCGCTCTGCAAACAGGTCTCATAAATCGTTGTTAGGGCACCAGCTCGCTCCCGCCACCTGCCCTCTTTCTACGCCAGCCCTGGAAGTCGCCGTTGCCGCGCACCGAGCGCTAACTGCACACAAAAACCAAATCCTGCATTTTTGCTGCGGCAATGGCGGTTCGTGCTCCGCAGCAGGCACGGCCCGCGACGGGAGGCCTT